AAGTCTCATCTAACCTGGCCTTGAACACTTCCAGGGATGGAGCATCTACAACTTCTCTGGGCAACCTGTTCCAGTGCCTCTGAGTGAAAAATTTCTTATATCTAATCTAAATCTCCCCTCTTTCAGTTTAAAGCCATTGCCCCTTGTCCTATCACTACATAGCCCTGTAAAAAGTCCCTCTCCAGCTTTCTTGTAGGTCCCCTTAAAGTACTGGAAGGCTGCTAGAAGATCTCCCCAGAGCTTTCTCTTCTCCAGGCTTAACAGCCCCAACTCCAGTCCTCAGGTCATCTTTGTGGCCCTCCTCTGTACTCACTCCAGCAGCTCCATGTCTTTCTTGTGTAGGGGACCCCAGAGCAGAATGCAGTATTCCAGGTGGGGTCTCACGAGAGCAGAGGAGTAGAATCACCAACTGCAGAAAAAAGAACTTGCTATAATGACATAAGGACTATAAGGACTATATATTTAAAAAAGGACTACCAGGACACTATTTTTTCCAGTCTAGACATATCAAGTTTTTTCTGCGTGACCACTGAGTTATTCTAATAAATATCTGAAAAGTCAAGTTCAATAAAACCTGATTTTCATGGTTAAAACCCCTTGGACCTGTTTGAGAAAGTTTGCTGCAAGTGAGAAATCCAGGCAGATTCTTCTCAAAATTCTGGGGGATTTGGGGTCCTGTCACATGTAATTTTATGCCTCAAAAAACATTTGCCTTTGTATATTAGCAACATGAACCTGAGGTTAGTTTACTGAACAGGCAGGTTGCATTTATCCAATATGTTGATATAATCTGAATTTCAGTAGACTTTTCCGTGAAACTGTTGCACAGAACTGGAACTGCTAGACTATCAAAGTGTTTACTAGTCACACATTTGATGGCTAGTGGCACATTTTTTATGAAGCTTTCATAGCTTTGTCTCTATTGCCCTTTTATTCTCTGTCATCCCTGTATTTTGTGGTATGCTTTTTTTTGTTTATATATATTTAAAAATATTGTGTTCTTACTTGATATTTGAATCAGACATTAATGGGCTTTTTTGAGAAAGTTGAGACAGATGTAGCATTACAAATGAAAATTTAAATTGTAAATTCTTTCTCAGCCTTTAAAGTCTTATACAGACAAGTTAACCTAAGTTGGCAGTACTTTTTTTATACTGATATTCTGTTAAATCCACTGCAGAAATCACATCTGCTCTGAAAACCGTAATTGGGGATTCATTCCTAAACATACTTTTATGAAGGAGATATATAAACATCTCAAAGCTACCAAGAGAAGATAGCACAGCATGATATATTTAACAACTACTGGAAAAAAATGTTTAAAGAGGGAAAACACATTCCATGGCTAGATATCTATTTAATGTTAAGATAATCTGGAGAAAAGATAGAGGAATCTTCACTCCCTACTCCCACAGAAATTAAATAAGTGCAATTTTAGTCCCTATTTTACTGATTATTTTCGGGCAGTGCACATAAGAAGGTGATCTCTAGAAACCCAGAGAATTTTGTACTAGTACATAGTGAGCAACCATAATTGTGTTTTCTCCCTAATGAAGTCAACCCATTACACAGGAATAACAAAGTTAAAGTTCATCTCTAAGGACTTTTTTCTTTGCCTGTAGGGTTTACGCTGTTTTCTGTTATTTTTTTTTTTTTTTAAGGATCATCTGTTTCAACTGGAATCGCACAAATTTGAGAGAGGACGAGGCAGGTGCCCTTTTGACCCCAGTTCTTCCTTCACCTCCATCTTAATTGGTAATGATCTTTATGTCATAAGCTTCACGGTCCTGTCACTCTGTCATTCTGAGTCTCTTTCTTCAGCACACCAAAGTGTTGTCAGCCTTCCATTGCAACCTTCCACATGTCAGACTTAATCCTCATGGTGCTGTCTACATTAATATTGCATCCCAGGCACATTGACTCCAGCAAGAGTGTCTCACTGAAATGACTAGATGTTATACGACATGTGCCATCCTGAAGAGGTAATTGATTGCTGTGAGATTTTGGAAACTATAATTTCCTGCTTTCCTTCGAAGCAAAGCAATACATGTAGCTTAGTCTGTTACACCACAGAGACAAATACACAAAATTCACAATTTTTCACTTACTGAGACGTAATCTGAGTAACAAGCATCTTGTAAGAATGCAAATTTATCTGGATTTATATCAAGAATTTATTGTTTATATAAATTACAGATTCTGAGATCAAAATAATTTTTTTTCAATGCTGCTTTCTAACGAAACTATACAAAACTAGTGATTCTCTGTTAGAAGATTTAATCTTACACTTCACAGTTATAAAAATAGAATTCAGTCTGAGGCTCGCAGTGCCAGAAAGCTGTGCTGAGATAGTTCTCCTCTGTGCCTTGCTGGTAAGTATATCACTGTAGGGCTGGGACCTTCGAAGTTGTACTATAGTAAACCGTATGTTTTTTCTTCTATAACGTTTTCCTGAAAATATTTTGCGAGATCAAGAAAATATAGGCTTTGCATTATAGTACATTGACTAAAAATAGACTGGAACAGCAGGTAAGGGCGAAAGCTAGATGCACTCAGGGAACAATAAAGTGATTTCTGGTTTTAGAAAACATAAATATGATGAAAACTGAGAGTTTATACGGAACAATCATTAAAAGGAAGAGCTAGAAAAAAGAGGCTAAAGATCAAATAAATTCTCAACTTTTCAGGGGTAAAAAAGTTAGAGGATTTAGGGCCCTTTGATATTTAAATTTGACTTCGTATCTCAAAATCAGACAGCTAAAGGCTCTGATTATTAGCGACAGTGATACAGCTCACCCATGGTGATAAGGAAGTACTGGTCATGAGTGACAGATGTATGTTTTACATGCTGGGTTTATTTATTCATTTACATTAACAAATTAATTACAAGAAGAATCTTCACCAGTAATGCCTAATGTTCCAAATTGCAGCAATTCATCAAAATATTGTTCATCCCTATTAAAAAAAATAATAAATTGCAGCTCAAATTCTTAAGAGTTAGTGGTCTCAGAAGTCATGAAAGAATCAGAAAAAACTGCTGTATTTTGACTGACCTTCCAAAATCCATGAAGCACAGATTGTTACGCTTTTCTTCCACCCTTATTTCTAAATTGTTTCTACAGTTTATAACAGATTCCAGTCTTAGCTCAGCCTGGGAACAAAGACTCATCCCATGGAAATTGCTGTAGGCCTGAAACCTCATCATCTAATCTTGAAGTCCTTCTCAACCTTTCCTCAGACAGAACTAAGTAAATAAATTAACCTGATCTTGTTCCTACTGTGAGATCAATGTGAATTTTATTTGCTTAAATGAAAGCCAGATTGTCCCACTGAGCACATCAAGACTAACGGTTAGTCCTTGTTTCTGGCCTATTCATTAGTTTGCCTGGATTATGGGAGGTCCTATGGATCCTATGGATCCTCACAGGTTTATCTGAAAGAGAAATCCATTAAATAAGCCCTTTCCTGATAAATGTTGATCAAAGTCTTGGATGTCGACTGACAAAGACTTACAAAATCAATCTCACAAAGCTGACAGTTCTGTATTGTGGCAAGATTAACAGGAGAAAAGAATACATTTTTATCAGATTACTGATACAGCACAAAAAATAGACAGACTTTCAACCCTTCATCAAAACTAATATGACATGAGAAAAGTATTTAGAGGCTGTTTTCCTAGGCCTCCATTGGGAATTCCATAATATCAAGTGATCATAGAATGGTATTTTAAAAGCATAACAAAACTCTTCAAAGAGTTTATTATTTTATTTATGCTTTTATATTTTTTATGCTATTGGAACACTTCCAACACTTAGGAAAAATATCCTAAAGAAGTTTGCATTTCCATGTGTTCTACTATATTCTACTAACTTCTAATAACCAGAGACACATAGCTTACAGAATAAACAGAATTAATGCTACTCCCTAGACTGCAGAATGTATGTCCTTTGTCTCTGTAGGTATCAATTTGAAAAAGATAGAAGATGCAAACACAGTCAATATTAAAGAATGTTTAATTGGCGTTTGATAATGAGATTGAGACCTCTAATGTCAAGTGCACTCTGAAGGAAAGAATGCTCCTTCTTTCAGCCAAGCACTTTTTCCAGCTCATGGTGGCCATGACCCCATGACAGCAGATGACAACTACACCATGCACCCTCCCGGACTGGTCTTCCAGTCTTTCCTCCAGTGCTTGGAGGTTCCCTTCTTCTTCATGCACTCCAGTTTTCTTAGAAAGTGAAATCTGCTCCTGGCATGGAATCAGCATGCCCTTAGAGGCTGCACCCCAGAGTTACCTCCACTCTCCCATGTAGGTTCAGCCGATGTGCATGTCTTTGAAAAGGTTTTATGCAAACCTGCTAGCAAAGTCTTTCACATCCCAGTATCCTCTTCTTCCTAACTAAATTCAAAACCTGCTTCCACCTCTGCAACTATTCCGCTTATGGCTATTGACTAACAGTGAGGATTAGACCAACAAGGAATCTTTCCATACTTCTCATAAACGTTCAAAAGCTGTTAAAATCTTGATCATGAAAGATCATTTGCACCATCACTTATTAGAATCAGATTTAGCTAGACTAATTTACTCTCTACTCTGCCCTCGTGAGACCCCATCTGGAGTACTGCGTCCAGTTCTGGAGCCCCCAACATAAGAAGGACGTGGACCAGTTGGAGAGGGTCCAGAGGAGGGCCACGAAGATGATAAGAGGGCTGGAGCACCTTTCCTATGAGGACAGGCTGAAAGAGTTGAGGCTGTTCAGCCTGGAGAAGAGGAGGCTCCGGGGTGACCTTATAGCGGTCTTCCAGTACCTCAAGGGGGCTTACAAGAAAGATGGGGAGAGGCTGGTCAGGAGGGCCTGTTGTGATAGGACAAGGGATAATGGTTTTAAAATAGAGGGAGGGAGATTCAGATTGGATATTAGGAAAAAATTTTTCACCATGAGAGTTGTAGAACACTGGAACAGGTTGCCCAGAGAGGTGGTGGATGCTCCATCCCTAGAGACGTTCAAGGCCAGGTTGGATGAGGCCCTGAGCAACCTGATGTAGTTGGAGATATCCCTGTTCCTTGCAGGGGGGTTGGACTAGATGACCTTGGAAGGTCCCTTCCAGCCCTAACCATTCTATGATTCTATGATTCTAATTTAGGAAGAAAGAGAATCTCTTATTCTCTATATCTTCATGTGTTTTAACACATTGATTAAAATACCCACTCCAAGAAAACAATTGTTTGTGACTTGACTTTAAATATCCATGGTGTTGTAAGTTTTATTACAGATTATCTGACCTAGTGGTAAAGTAGCTTGTAATGAATTCCTCAATAGATGAACAATTAACTTTACCAATTTATTGTCATTGTCAGGAAACAGAATAGATATTAGATGGTAGAGAGGCTAAATAAAAAATATTTCTAATGACCTCTCCCATCTGCTTTCAATAGCCAAAACTATTTTTGATATCAGATCATGCACACTGATTAACTTAGACCACACTAGCTCTTGAAAGCTGAAAAATTATTTTATGTCTTCATTTTGTTACCTGCAATATAACAAGCAAGTGATGAAAATCTTAAGCTGTATTTGAATATGTTTTACTACCCAGGGAATCCATTTCAATAGCATTTCTTTGGTTTTACAGTTTTAAAATAGTTTCATGTATTTGAGTCCTTTCTTTTGCTCTAGACAATAAAATGAAATAAATACATTTTCTCTCAAAACAGAAAACAGAATATTTGAGTGGCAGATGGAAAATACAAATATATACAGGAAGTTTATCAATTAAGCAAGAGTTAATTTCTTTTGAAAATTTTTTCCTGCTGTGGAAATCATCACTTCCTAAAAATGTGAATTAGTATTCTGATTTTAGTCATGTGAGTAATAACTGACTGACAGTCAAAGACATGCATGAAATGTACTGGTATGTTCTATTCATTACATTCTACTCCTTTATCCATAACAGAGCAAGTCTACTCTGTAGAAAGTGATGTAATGCAGAATTTACACAAAAAGGACTACTGATGAATAATAGCTTGTGTTTGCATTACCTTCCAGTTTGAACTAGGTACACAAAATATGCCAATAACAAATGAAGGAAACCTAAGGTGGAAGCAGTCTATTTATAGAAATCTCTTGTATATATTACGTTTTTTTAATTAAATCACATGCTTCAATCTTTTCTACTTTGAGGATTGTCATCTGGGAATTCTTCAGTGTAGAGGAAAAAGTTTGTATTTGGTTTTGTACATATATCTCTCTGAGAAAATGGTAAAAACTAAAGGTATCTTTTAAGTGGTCCCAATTGAACTTTTGTGTATTTGTTTGGTAAACAAGAATGCCAGCTAAAAAGTATGCATATATCATTTGAGCTAAAACTGATTTTTGAGGTCCATGCGATTATTTTGTTTGTTTGTTTAGATAAGAAGAAAGTGTCTATTCTTATTTTAGCAGGGTTAATGAGGCTGTGTTAAAACTTAAATTTTAACAATTAATTTGTGAAATGCATATGAAGCCGAGGTTGGACCAGAAGAAGTGAGGAGTGGTGAAGGTCTGTGAAATTGCTCAGTTTATTTCCATGGGAAGATACTGGTTTATCAGTGTGATGTGCAGCACTATAAAACGCCGCAACCAAGACAGGAGTGAGTTAATATGTAGTAGTAGCTTTTCAATGGAAGAGAAAAGAGTGGAAATCTTGCCAGGATTTTTCAAACCACAACCTCAGGTTGTCTCTAAATCTAGAATTAGTCAGCACATGTAAAAACTTAACAGATTTCAAAATTTAAAACATGGATTTAAAGGATGTGCAAAAGACTATTGAAGAAGAAAAGGGAAGATCCTCTTAATGTCAAAAGTGGAAAAGATCTCAGAACTACGCCGAATATTCTTGTGCTGAGATCTTTTCCAGTCACGCTCGTCAGTATTATCTCATCACTTTCCTTAAGCAAGATGACCTGACTGCTCACACTTGATACTTGTCTTATGTTTAGTTTAGTAACACTTCAGGGTAAAAATCAGATTTAGTTTCTATATCTGTACATTATATGTCATGGAACAATATCCAGCCAAGACTGGAACTTCCATTTTCTCCCCCCAGGATCTCACAGATAAAATCAGTGGTAACTTTCTCAGTATATGATAGAATGCCATACCAGTACATTAGTTACATATACTAAAATTTTTTACCCATGTCAAACAGAAGGAATAGGATTCATGTCTGAACTTCCGAACAGCTGGACTCACAAATGACAATCCTGATCCCTAACCATATGTGACGAATCATTTACCCTGCACTGATGTATTTTCCAAGATTCACTATGATGTTGAAAAGACAAAAGCATCACATTTTGTATTACACATTATCATAATATAAAAAAATCCAGCCAGTCAGATATTTTTCCAATGGAATTCTTAAAGGGAGATTTATGACTAATGTAAATTATTTAATTAGGATTGAGAAGATTGTTTGGAACATTATGCAGACACTGGCAAATTCTGTTGTTCAAGCAGCTCTGTGTTGTTTAGAAATAAAGCCTTCTATTAGTTTTGGGAAACTTTAACTTCTACTGATGCTATAATTTATATTGACTCTTCATTTCACTTACCAATGTTTTACACTAAATCATCACCATGCGTTTTACAAGGCAATATCCGTTCTCTACAAAGCAATTAAGGCAAAATTACGCTCAGCTCTGAATCAGCAGAGGTTTCTGAACCAGCCTAACTGCCAAGCTACAAACTTTTCAGAATTGTTTTTCAGATTTATGATACCATTCAATTCATATATATCTCTTAAAAGAAACAAAATTCACACTTTGAGGGAGTCCAACAAGCAAAATTCTTGCTTTTGCTGTCATCTTTTTAGATGCCAGCAAATGTTATTTGAATGGATCAGTCATGTTTATTTTGATTAGGAGGTAGGAAGTCGTGTCACTGAAATGTGTCACTCGGATTAGCCACGAACTGGAAATAATTTATTTCCTTCTTCTTGTCCAGTTTAATGCTTGCTGTGCTATTTTCTAGCCTAAGGATGCCACCTAGTGACAATGATTGTCTATGTCTTAAATTAGGCCTAAAACATTTCTAATCTAAGTTCACAAGTATATGAAATGTGTGATTCTTAATGCTTGATCAGTTAAGAGAAATTGCGCCCATGCATACCTAAACAGCAGAATTATTGCTGGTATATTACTAAAGTAAAATAGATATCACAATTTTAGATGGGTCAGATAGAGGTAGGCTGGATTGTTGAACATATGTATAATCCAGTTGTACCCAACTACATATAGATTTTCAATAGTATTTGGCAATTAGCATATTATTTCTAATATTTTCCTATGCTTGCTTAATTTGTGACACCTAAATCCTTTGCAAATGGGACCCAATTTCTGTTCTCCTAAGTGTTTCAGAAAATATTCATCACTAGTTGTGCAGGACATCTCAGGTCCTGTCCCTACTTTGGTGAGTATTTTAAGGGTATGAAAACAAGTTATTGCTAGACCAAAGAAAAATAGACTTCTTTTCTGTGTCCACTGAACACCTAAGCCCCTAAAACTGTAGCTATTTCAGGTAAAGTGGAACAGCTCCAGTAAGCTGACTGGAAAACCACCTCAGCCTATTAAAACACGTACTTGTTTATAGAAATCACTTCTAAGGTAGGCGGTACTGCTTCTCAGCTCTCCAGCTGGGGCATCCAGCCCTCCAGTATTTTCAGTATGTGCTTCACAAATGAATCTTATTTTCAGCCATGTTTTGCACAGAGCCAAATCCGATAACTATGCTCAGGAAACACTCCTCTGTTTGAGGTCCAATCTGTGGGTTCAGGTATGGTTTAACCTTGAGCTGTATCCATGCACTGTAGCCCAAATCAGTGGTTTGGTGCAGCTATCACTATTCATTTCCTTAGCACTGCATTCTCTGAAATCTGCTGCTGCATTTTCATCCCATTTTCTGGTTCCTGTTATTTCTAGTGCCTCGTACACCCAACATGTCCCTTCCGGTTCTGGGACCAAACAATTTGTTGCTTCTCGTTAACAAGAGTAGGGCACGTCTGAAAGTGCTCAGAAGAAAACCACTGGTCAGAGTCTTTGCACTGGTGAAAATTTAGTTGCCGACAAAGGGTAGGTGCCTCTAGGGCCAGGCACTAACTGAGTGATGGTGAGATCTTTGAACTTAGGTGCCTGATGTGACAGACGTTATTGTGACAGATGTGGTGAGATGTTAATTTAATGTCGTCATGTTTTGTGTGTGAATCTATCCTGAAGATATTAAATCAGTTCTGAAAATGAGACCAAGCCCATGAATGAAATTTAAAATTCTTTTCCTCGTGCCGCTCCAACTGTAAATGTTGCAGTGCTGTAGGAACAATGTCCATATGCTCTTTTGACTATATGTAACTTACTGACTTGCCTTTTTACCTGAGTTTAAGCAAATACTAATGAGCCATGTTTATAATGCAGTTCCTAGTATACACAACAACATGAATAAGTACCACATTACTAAATTGTTTTGGTTTGGTTCTGTTTTTTGATGTATGATCTGCAGGTGGTGAACTTTTCACTGGTCTCTACAGTGACTACTGGGGAAGAGATGCTGCTTTATTTCGTACCATGAATCGCATGGCCCACCTCCGAACTGAACCTGACAGTGAGCGCCTGTTAAAAGGTATGGGAAAGAGAAGAAGGAAGAACCAGAAGTGCTTTGGATGACCAGACAATTTCTGTTTAACTAGAAATTAAAAAGATATTGTTCATGCATATGTATATCCATTTGGAGATGGATTTGTTTAAACTACCTTTTTTCTCATGAAATTTTTCATGAAACCCCTGCCAGGATGAACAAATTGAAATCTTGACTGTGATTACATATTGGATTTAAGTGGAACTTTTAAGCCCTTTTTTTTTTACTTTTAAAATTTTTTTTAATTTATGCTCTGGATATTGTATACCATTTCAAGATATGCTAGATATAATTATAATTTTTTTTTAAATTCTCCATTTAATTAATGAGAGCTTCTAATTAGAATACAGTACTCTTTTTTTTCTAGATGAATTCATTTGTCTTTATGGTTTTTGTCTTTATGCAATAAAACAAGTCAATCTTTTCCAAGTTATGTATTGGAGAGATGTCATACAATAACGTAAAATACTAAACATATGATGATCATAAAGTTAAATGAAATAAAAAGTTAAAGAAAATTGAAATATTCCACAAGAAAAATATTGAGAGAAATCATGTGCTGAGAAATTTAAAAATTGTTTCATTCTCTTCAATGTGAAATCTAACTGAATTTCAAATTGTTGAAAATGCTGTGAGATGGAGAGTTAGAATCTTGATTTGTTTTTCTCCAAAAGTATTGTAATATTTCATCATAACAGTGACATAATTACTACTAATGTTTGGCAAGGAGAGTAAATAATTGCCTTTTATGGTGATTCATATGGTGAGCATCATCTTTTCAGTGAAAGGACACAGAAGTTTTTCCTCTCAAATTGCAAGGCAGTTTGTCCAGAATCAGCAGGGAGAAAATAGTTCTGCTGCATTCTTCTTCTGACATGGATCTGACCTAAGACTTGAATTAAATACATTTCTTCAAAAAACATGTTTAGAACATTCTTACATGAGCTCTGAGTCCAATACATAGAGCTTTGCTGAACTGAGTGTTTAGACTGGCTATATATCGGTAGCAACAATCAGGTGGATGTTCACAATTTGCAAGTGAAGTTTCTCTTCTCTCTGGAAGATTTAATTATTTTAAATAGAGGTTTCTCTAAATTATGGACTCAAACTTTGCTTTTCATATTGTTTATATTTGAAATTTAAATTTACAGAAAAGGAATACTTTTAAATGTATATTAAAAATACTTCAGAAATTTAGCAAGTACTGTATCAATGTCTTAAAATGCCATGATAGTTTTCATAGACAACAGGAATTTAGAAAATATTTCCATTACTGACTGCTTCTTAAGAAATCAAAGTAATTCTATGAATGACATTTTCAGTTAAAGAATTTGTAAAAACTTTGCTACAATTCAGTGCAATGAAATCATTCACAGCTCTGCTTGATGTGGGGTTAAAAGGTAAACAGGTATGGACTAAAGCATGAACTTAGGTTTCAACTTTGTAGCAAAATGTCAAAACGGGAAAAGTTTTTTATATGTGACAGAAATACACAATACACCTTCTGCCTATGAAGATACACGTTCATATCACATTTATAAACTGAACGACCAGAGCTTTTTCTTTATCTAAAAGGCTCTTTGTCTGAAGTTGACACCTGGTTTGTATGGGATCAGAGATTGTTATGTGAATATTAGTGCCAGGTTTTAGCCTAATCCAAATTAAAATATATAAACCCTAGAGAATGGGACTGGAACAGGTCTTTTTCTTGCACACATACAACAGAATAGTAATTTGTGAATTGGAGCTATAAAAATAGCTTGACATTAATGTATTCTATCTGTTCTATAGATACTCACCCACAAAAATATAGATTTTTTTCCTATTTCTATCACCTTTTTCAGCTCAGGTAGCTCTCTGACTGATAGATCCCTGATTCTTTAATTTTATTTTTTTCTTTGCTACCAGCTGATTTTAAGGATTGAAAAAATAAGAAAATGTTTTAGTAAACTTGAATTCAATTCATTTTTGTTTTCTTTCAAAGAACCAAAGTTTGTTGGCTCATACATGATTCCTGACAATGAAGACCACGATGATAACAAAGTGTACTTCTTCTTTACTGAAAAAGCATTAGAGGCCGAGACAAGCACTCATGCCATATATACCAGAGTGGGTCGTGTATGTGCGGTAAGAGACTTTTTCTGATTCCTCAGCTAACTGGAAAAAAATCATGCACCTTTCTTTGCTCCCTCTCCCTCAGGCAAATACGGCATCTGTTAATGTATGTGAGAGTACGTTATAGGTCTGAATGAAAACCCTACATCCAAACAGCCTCAAGCTTTAGAAAATCTAAAAGCAATCTGAAATCTGGGCTTGGAGTTGAGTTTGGTTGAGAGAGGAGGGCAAAGTTCAGGAATCTTGTTATTCAGCTCCTTCTCTCTCTGTGCTGGTATGTGGTAACATTAATAGCAGTTGCCCACAGGACTCTCCTGCCATCCATATTCTCAATTCAGATCAAGGCTTCATTGTCCTTAGTATTGGCTGTAGGTCCGGGGCCTCTTGCAGCTGTCTCAGATGACATAAATTGATGTCCCCTCGCATTCCAGATGAGAAGACCAGCCCAGTCACCAGTCCTCTCTGACATTCCCTCTTGCCTTCCTACTCTGTCAGCAAGGAGCAGACCTAGCTCACTTGCATTTGTGCATGGTCGATAGCTATCCTGTCAGAGAGCTGGATAGGAAAAGAGGCAAAGGGCACAGATTGAAACACATGAAATTCCATCCGAATGTAAGAAAACATTTTTTTACTGCCAGAGTGATTGAACGCTGACACAGGTTGCCCAAAGTCTCCATCCTTGCAGATATTCAAAACCTGACTGGACATGAGCCAGAGCAACTTGCTGAGTAACTTGATCAAAGCAACTTACTTTGAGCAGGACAGTTGGACTAGGTGATCTCCAAAGATCCCTACCAAATTCAACTGCTCTGTGGTTCTGTAATTTTTGAAAATCTCTTTCTGATGCATGAACAATAGGAAGGGTGCAATGTCAACCATCTATAGAGTGCTTTATAAATAGTAGCTAATGAATGTTTTCATTTCATCTCACATTCTTCTTCTTTTTATTATCAACTAGGGAAAATCATGCAGATAGAAAAGTAGAACAAAGGACTGAATTTTTCAGCAAATTATTATCACAGCCATGCACAAGGCTTACCAGAATGAGCAGAAAAATCTCAAGGAAATACCTTCCTTCCCTCCACTGCCCTGCACGATCATACCTTTTCCACTCAGGCCATGCTCCTGGTGTGTTGATCCCATCTCTTTGGCTCCCTGACCCTACACACAGGAAGGAGATCTCGGGCAGTTGCTGGAGAACAGCACTGTTAACATATGATCTCCCTGACTAAGCTGCCCATAATTGGTCCTCTCTGAGCAATTGATGAAGTCTGGGTGAATTCCTTTGCTATTAATTGAACTATGGTAAGGCTGATGAGGAGCTCCCCCGTTCCTATTGGGACTACATCTGCTTGATTAAAGGAAGGAATGAGAAGTTTATTTCTCAGCATCTGATTTTGTTTCGGAGAAAAGTTGCATTCCACCTCCTAAGTCTAGGGGATATATTCCTAAAACTATTGGGCAAAGAGTTATTAACACAAGTTAAAAATTTTCTGTCACCTCAAAGTATAGTGTATGTCACATATGCTTACCAGCGTACTACCTATTAAAATTTCTTAAAGAATACTCATGTAGAACTGAAAACATCTGAAGCATGCGAAGTACCAAATTGCAGCCTAAAAGATTAATGTTCACAAAGCTTTCTGAATTCAAGTCTATATCAAGATCTGAAGTAGAATTCATTGGACTATGTTCTGGTAGATGTCTGAATAGATTATTTTAATAGTTGCCTCTAGTCTGAAATATATCCACCTGAATGTCTTATCTCTAGCAATGACTTAAACCAAAATTCCACAGACCTTTCTCTTCCACTTGTCCAAAACTCCAAATCCTTCATCATCTGGACGTTAACTGCACAGATGTATGCTATAATTCAAATTTGATTTAATGAATACAAAAAATAGCTAGCTGATGATTCAAGAACTGGCTTTTTTCTCCAGCTTTTACATTTTCATCTGAGCTTTAACAGGTTTTGCAACATAGAGGCACCTACTCTGTATATTGCTACTTTTCTGAGGAAAACAGATCTCTGTTTTTATAAGATCTCAACGTGAAGCTGAGGAAATCAATTAATTTCAGTAGTTTAGAATGAATTTGCAAGAAGTTTTGCAAGCCTAATACAGAGCATTCAATAGTCAGTTACAGTCTAAGGCCATAGCTTTGAGGATGCTACCCAAAAGTTACGGAATCTGATTACTAAGTAGTGCTAAACACACCCTTTTCTCGACAGTCTGACAATTGCAATAGCAAGAAAAAGATGAGACAGCCATAGCAAAGCAGGAATTATTTAAAGTTGTTGAGAAATTGTTAGAACACCGTGCAGACACTTGCCTCAGACTAGCCTCAGCTGTACCAGCTCTATAGATAGATTCAGGGCTTCATTTTCCAAATGTGTTAATCCAACCCTGCACTGAGCTCTTAAAGCAAAGCTAAATGTTGCTAATGTACTCAGTAGATCCAGTTAACAAAAATGAGAAATAAAAAAGCTTTACAACAGCGATATCATTAAAACTATCCATGGATGCAGTACAGAATTAAAAAATTCTTATAAACCCACAGTTCTTAATGAGACCTGGACTTGATCAGTGCAATCCTACTTGAAAAGTGACTCCAGAGAAATACTACTAGTAATAGACATGTGGTTTGGAAATGCATGCTTTTGACATTGAAAGATACAATGAGTGGCTAATTCAGCAGAGATGTTTGTGCTTCTAGACTTACTCAATCAAATTACCACCAGCATTTGTTTCTTTCTCTGCAGAATGACATGGGAGGCCAGCGAATGCTCGTGAATAAATGGAGCACTTTCCTCAAAACCAGGCTAGTTTGCTCTGTGCCTGGGAGAAACGGAATAGATACGCATTTTGATGAATTAGGTAAACATCCTAGATTACAGCAAACTTAAAACCATCATACAAAACATACACTTTCATAACACATCTTACTGTCAAATATTGTATTCATTAACAGGGAATAGATGTTAGTGTTTTATTTCTAAAGTATATGAAGTTTTATACATACATAGCTGACTATCATCAATTATGTCTTTATGTATTGTATGGTTTTTAAAAATTGATTTTAAAAACTGGGTAACATTAAATTGTGTAGGTGAATAAAATAAGATCACACTTTAAAGAAGCAATGAAATTTCTCTTTTGGGGACAATAAAAGTAGTTTGTTACCAATAACGTTGCATTTAAATTTTACAGAGGATGTGTTTTTGCTTCAAACCCGTGATAACAAAAATCCAGTGATATTTGGCCTCTTCAACACTACAAGGTAAACAACTAGAAGAAATAATAGTGGCAATAGAAGAATGTTTGAACTGCCTGTTGAAGAGCTAGAATCTGCATGATAAATATGCCTTAGCAAATAAATAGTAAACAGTTTAATCCCTGTTCTATTCACAGTGGGCTTCCTTGCTAATGTAAAAACTGTTCTGTGGCACTCGGAGCTTGAATTCTCATTCAGTGATCCAGTCTGTTCTGGATCATAAATTAATTAATTTTTCTCTGCTTGAAAATCTCCTAGTGTCAAAGTCTATGCAATCCTCCATGTGGGAGTAGTTTTGCCACCTGAATATTGTTGAAATGTGACATATGCTTAATTACGCAATAATTTCATTATTATATGTACAGAATATGACGTTGCTTTAATAATGTCTTTGAATTTTACTTCATAGCAATATATTTAGAGGATATGCTATATGTGTTTACCACATGGCAAGTGTCCGAGCAGCTTTCAATGGACCATATGCTCATAAAGAAGGACCTGAATACCACTGGGCTCTATATGAAGGAAAAGTACCTTATCCTAGACCTGGTTCAGTAAGTACAATCTCTTTTCCATTGCATTGCTACGTAAATTAATTCGGGAATAAAAAGCAGACTGCTGTTAATGTATGAATCTTCCTGACTTCACAATCCAGGATATATTTATTTGAATATACACATACTCTAGCATTTCTAGAGAAGTATGGAATGACTCAGCAAGAAGTTTGATCAAGTATTAGAACCATACATTTCCCAAAGGAAAATATTAAAATTAAGCATATAAGTATTTCTTCAAAATACTGTTGGGAGTTGAATTTAGCAACCTTCTGTTAAGGTCCTAAAGTCCGAAAGTTAGGACCTCAGGCAATAGGAGCCAAAAGAGACACCTCTAGAAAGTGGGTCAGATGCTGCATCGAGAAGCAGTAAGTGCATTATCTGGGAAAGAACCTCACTTTCCATTGAGCCTAGAATAACTGTTCTTCTAAACTTGTTCTTTCTAAACAAGCTTCCACAACATAATTCACTTTCCTTCTATTGCCTGCTGAAATCAGGGCATTTAGCAAGTGTTAAAGGAAGGGGAAAAAAAAAAAACAAAACATTATTTCAAGATCAGGTGGTTCTGGTTCATTTTTTTAATATCTTTTTCCAAAAGGATCAAATTTCAATATTTCTATAATTTAGATCAGTATAAAGGTTAGAAATGAGATGCAGATTTTAACAAAAAACTAATCACAATAAACATTTGTAGATAAGAAGTAGATCCTCCATCAGCTGAGGCTCTTCTTTCAAGACTGGCTCTTTCTAGAAGCAATGCTCTACCATCTTCACAACACTTTGGTTTGCTTTCAGATGTCACAGAGTGAGATTTCATTACCCTCAAATCAGGTTCCTGAGCTTATGAACATTCTTGTTCCATACCCTTTGTTGTGGTTTAACCCA